GCTGGCGGTCGCTCCGGGCCCAGGCATTCTCCGGGCTCTGGCTGCAGCGTTGGGGGCGCAGGGGGCGGCGCTGCTGCTCGCGGTGTGCTGGGCGAGGCGGACGCCAACGGCCGGGCCGAAGGGCACCTCAGCTTCGCCGGGGCCCGCAGCGCGGGTCCTAGGACGAAGGAGGAGGCGGCGCCCCCTCTGCCCGGGGCCGGCCCGGTGCCTGCCCGTAGGAGACCCGCGTCCGGACGTTCCCGGCCCGCAGCGACCCCGACGCGCCTCCCGGAGAGGCCCAAAGCTCCCGGCCACCCCCTGGGGGTGTCCCGCTTTCCCGGGCCTCACCTGCCCTGGCCTCCCCGCACCCAGGTGCGGGGGCGTGAGCAGCGAGGGCGCCTCCCCCGGCCGCCAGCGGAGCGGGGGCGGGGCCTCCCTCCGCCCTCTGCCTTACCGGCCAGCCCGGCAGCCTCTCTCAGTCTCACCAGTCCGCCCGTCGCGCCCGGCCGCGCGGCGTGAGCTCCCCGGGGATCGCGGCTCGGGATGCTGCCCGCCAGCGCGGCCGCTCGCCCGCAGTCCGGCACCCCCGCCTCTGCCTCTGCCTCCTGGGCCATGCCCCGCTGTTTACATGCCGGTGAGGTACCCGGCCGCTCCGAACCCCTCCGAGCCCCGACTCCCCGAGGGTGAAGCCCGCCGGCCCGCTAACTGGACTGGTCGGTCGCTCAGACCTGGGGCCCGGGACTCCGATCTCCGCCGCCTCCGCCACCATCTGGGCGGGATCCGGCTCTGGTGTTTTGAGGAGGGGGTGTGGTGTACGGAAAGAAATCCCGTCCCTCCCCACCTTTTTTGGCCCTCGGGGCTTCAGACTCAGGGAACTCGCTCATGGCTTTCTTGATGAAGAAGAAGAAATTCAAATTCCAAACCACTTTCACCCTGGAGGAGCTGACTGCGGTCCCCTTCGTGAACGGGGTCCTCTTCTGCAAGGTCCGGCTGCTGGATGGAGGGGATTTTGTCAGCTTGTCGTCAAGGTAAGAGCTGGGGCCGTCGCGCCTGCAAGGGGGGCGGGGGCGGGGGTGATGAGCGAAATCTAGCCACTTGGCAAGTGTAGAAGGGCCCTTTGGGGCCGGGGTGGGGAGGGTCCGGGGGATTATGTGTGCCTGGGGCAGGTTGCACAAGGCAGAACTGGGCCTGAGGAAGTTGGCAGGGTGCCAGGCAGCCGCCAGCCAGATACCTGGGGGTCTAATCTTTCAGCTCCCTCTTGGGGCCCTGCCTGCTGCTTGCGATAGGCCCATTCTGCAGATTTGCAGGTACAGCCTGTCAGGGATTTGCACCCTAAGAGGGTGTGCAGGGGAGGGGTGTTCCAGGCCACCTTGTACCGGAACTGGCCTGTCATATGATTTAGAGTCCAGGCCAGCCACGGGTTCCTCGGCACCCCCAGGTGCCTGGGTAGGCCTGATGGCTGGCATTCCCTGGTCTGGCTGGAGGGAGGTGGCTGGATTTTGGCCTACCCAGCACCCTCCGAGTGACTGTCCTCCTCTGGCTGGCGCTGGGCTGCTTTGCATTGCAAATGACCTTGTCTAGGAGGCTGCTGCCTTCTCTGAAAGAGGCTCCGTTTAGTTTGGTTTTGTGTTGTTCGTCCCCATCCTGGCAGGTCCAGCTGCCCAGCTTATTGCTGAATGCAACTGAGTTCCTAGGCTGTCCTTTGCTGACCGGGCCCACCTGGGGTCACATCGTCCTGGCCTGTGTCAGAAGAGCCTTGGAGCCCTACAGATGGGGGTGTGACTTTTGACTCTGTTACTTTCTGGACCTTCTCTTCTGGAAAGTGGGCCTAATACAGGTGGAGAAGCTGCAGCAGCTAGAACTCGGGGCAGGCCGGACGCCATGGCTTATGCCTATAATCCCAGCACTTTGGGAGGCCGACATGGAAGACTCACTTGAGGCCAGGAGTTCAAGACCAGCCTGGACAACATAGGGAGATTCTCATCTCTCTTTTTTTTTTTTCTTTTTTGGGAGGACACAGTTTTACTCTGTTGCCCAGGTTGTACTGCAGTGGAGCCATCTTGGCTCACTGCAACCTCCACCTCCCGGGTTCAAGCAATTCTCATGTCTCAGCCTTTGGAGTAGCTGGGACTACAGACAGCCACTACCATGCCCAGCTAATTTTTGTGTTTTTATTTTAATTTAATTTAATTTTTTTTTTTTTTTTGAGATGGAGTCTCACACTGTTGTCTGGGCTGGAGTACAGTGACACGATCTTAGCTCACTGCAACCTCCACTTCCTGGGTTCAAGCGATCCTCCTGCCTCAGCCTCCCGAGTAACAGAGATTACAGTTGCGTGCCACCACAACTGGCTAATTTGTTTGTGTTTTTAATAGAGATGGTGTTTCACCATGTTGGCCAAGCTGGCCTTGAACTCCTGACCTCAAATGATCCACCCACCTCAGCCTTCCAAATGCTAGGTTGACAAGTGTGAGCCACTGTGCCCAACCTCTGTCTCTATTTTTAAAAAATTAAAATGAAATAAAATACAATACAGGCAGGACCTGGCCCAGTGCCTGGGAAGTGCTGCTTCCCTACCTGGTCTGCTCTTTGCTCCTTGGGCCTCCTTGTGGGCCCTGTTAGCCAGAGCTGCCTCACTGTTCTGAGAGCCCATTGGGTGTGTTATAGGTGGAGAAACTGAGGCCCAGAAAGAGGAAGTCAGTGGCTTGCCAGGGACCTTGAAGGAGTCTGTTGTTTACTGAACTTGGCCAGTTTGGGGACCTCTTGGATGAATCCAGAGGTCAAATGCTTTGCTGGGAGGAAGGGAAGGGAGGGGAACTGCACAGCCTAAGTCAGGTTTAGGAATCTGTTGTGGACCGGGTGGGGTGCCTTTTCTGAACATTGGCTCCCTGTTCTGCTGGGAGCTGCTTATCTGAGGAATTTGGACAAGGGCTGCCCCTTGTGGTGGGGGTGGCTGCCCTCCTTGGTTGCCTGGGTAGCCTGTGATCCTGAGACCACCCACACAGTGGCCTGAGGTTTCAGAGAGAAGGCTGTGCTCAGAGCTAGGCCCTGGGGTTGGCTACTCACTCATTGACTGAGAGACATTGGGCAAGTTACCTAACCTCTCTGATTGCAAGAACCAGCAATGACTGGTGCTGTACTCCCTGTTTTACTAGCACCTGTCACTTAACCCCTGGACTGTGTCATGGAGCAGGAGTAGAAGAGGGGACCGAATAGGATTATTATCCCCATTTTATAGAGGTGGAAACAGGCTCCGAGAGGGAATGATTTGCCTGAGTTGATTCAGTGGAGCCTGAATTCAAACTCGGATTGTGCTTTTAACCACTACCCTTTTGTGCCTCTGAACTTTCCTCTTCTGTAAAATGGGGACGTCATACCCACCTCTGGAGTAGAGATAATCTGTGTGTTATGTCTGGCCCTGGCAAACTGCTATAGAAGTTATGGTTTCTGTGGGTAGAGGAGCCCAGGCCTGGCCCCAGTCCTTTCTGGGTCTTGAGGGCACCAGATCTAGTTGGCAGGGGACCTATATGTGAGCTGGGAGTGGGGACAGGGTCTTGGATCCCATTGAGGAATATAAATCTTGAGCTAGGTGTCTAGGCTTTGCATGGTCTCCAGGTCCTGGAGCCACTGTCACCCTATCTGTTGGCCTTCCCATTGCTCTAAGCCTGCTTCCCCATCAGGGAAAGTCTGGAAAGTTCCAGGTCTTAGTCCACAGGGTCTGGAACTCTGTTTTTCCTTCGTTCCTCCTGGCAAGGGTCCTCAAATTTTCTGAATTCAGCTGAGCCAAAAGCCTTTCCCAGCCCCGTCCTGCCTGCACCCTGAGTAGGGCTGAGGAGGGAGGAACTGACATTGAGCCCCTGCAAAGTTGGGCAGGTATAGCCACCTGTTTGGTGCTGGGCAGTTAGTGGCCGCCAGGCACCTGTAGTTGGAGTGTGGTCGGGCAAGTGTGGTCGGAGACAGCAGACAGTGACATTGGACCCTGAGGCCAGTTTTGAGCTGCTTTGGCTTTTGCTGTGTTTTTGCCCAGTAGATGGGGGTTCCTGGGTTCCTACTCCCTCCATGCCTACCCCACCCACCCTGCCTCTGCAGCCTGGGAACCCTGCTTCACAGTCTGCCGGCCCCATTGTTTCCAAGTTGGGGTAGGGTCTGGGGGAACTGGACTTGGTTAGATCCTGGCCCCAGACCCAGTAGCATATTTTCCCTGCCTCCAGGAACCTCGGAGATGGCCTAGAGACCTGGTGGTGGCAGCATGGGCGGTGTCAGTGAAGCAGGCCCAAGGCCCCACCCCTGCAGCACCAGCCCTCCTGGCTGGAGTGGTTCCCTGTGTGCTGGGTGCCTTGGCAACAGCTGGGTACACAGCTCTTCTGACCTAATTTGAGCAGGTAGAGCAGGTGGTGCATCGGGCTGTTGCTCAGCCTCATCCCGAGGCCTCCTTGAGAGCAGCAGTCATCATGCTGTCGTGCTCTGAGCGCGTGCACTCTGTGCCAGCCACGGTGCCGAGTCTTTTGCAAATGGTATTTCCATGAATCCTCTCAGCCACACAGAGAGGCACCGAAGCCAGAGAGGTGAAGCCACATGCCAGGGTAGTAAATGGTGGTAAATGACAATTGGGAAATTAACGTTTTATCGTTCTATAAACCGCCCTTGATTGTACACATTCTGTATGCTCGGGGCTTCAAATACATGATATTTGAGGCCCTGCAGCCACCTACCCCATGGGCTGATGGCATTACCCCACTTAAAATTGAGGAAGCTGGGGTCAGGATAGCTGAAGTGACTGGGTCTATGCTGCTTATACTTAGCTAGGAGATGGGATTTGAATTTGCGCAGGTTCAACTCTAAGGCCCTGTCTTGCCTTGATGGCAGTTGGAAGCAGCTGCAGACCCATGTGGCAGCCCCAGACCCCTGAGAAAGATTTCTTTCCATGGATTGGGTAGTGCAGGAAAGTCCAGAGCTGGGTAGTTGGTAGGCACCATGCTAGGTTTCGTGAGCTCCAAGGAAAAGGGTCTCCAGGATCATAAGGTGGGGGTGGGGCTGAAGTCACTGCTGTAGATTTGGGTCCAGGCCTGGACTGGCACTGGGGCATGGTGAGCATTTTCCAAGGTCCCTGCCTGGAGGCCTCCCAGGCATACATATCCACATGGCATCTGGGAGGCTTTCCCAGGGGTCTCGGGAGGGAGGCAGAGGTCCCAGCCAAGTCTGGCGAGTCGGGGAGCTACCACCCTGTCCAAGGCAACCCTTGAGCAGGAAGAATCCCAAACACCCAAGAGGTCTATGCTCGCAGCTGGCACCAGTCCTGTGGCTTGCCCCTTACCACGTGGCTGGTGGTGCCAGGGAAGGGAGGTGCTGGCACATCCTGGAAGGAGATGAGGGCAGAGAGCATTTTATCAGCCAATAGATGGGGAAACCCAGGTCTGGGGCAGATTGTGACTTGCTAGGGCCACTTCACAGGAGGAGCTGATGGCATAGCTGAGTGGACTTGGGTCTGGCCCTGACCTCTGTCCCTTGTGTCTTAGTAACTCTTCGTATGAAGGAGGCAGGCTGGGCCAGAAGTGGGAAGGGTCTTTCTAGGGTCCCCTTGTGCTCTATACTTGGGTGCCAGACTGTCCAAGAAGCAGACAGCTCTGACTTGGAGGCCCCTCCTCTGGCCTTTCTTCTTTGGTAGGCTTGAATCCTCAGTGGGCTTTTGATTTGGGCAGCCTTTGGTGGGTTGTGGCTGCTCACCACAAAAGTGCTGCCTGCCTTCCATGGCACGGCTGGGCTGGTGGCCTGGAGGCACAAGTGGGGTTCTTTGAGTGTGAAGAAGGCCTTGGCCAGGTTGGTGCTGCAGCTGGAGGCCCCATGCCAGGCCCTGGGGAGGCCTGCCTGGCCGAGTCTTTGCTCACACTCCACACACATGTGGCCAGAGCCTCCACCCACCCCCCCTCCACGCCCCCCCCCACCTCGTACCTCGCCCGCCCTTCTGGGAAAGGCTGTGGAATGCTGCTTGAATCTACTGCTGGGGGAGGCCTGCTTGCAGGCACAATGTGGAGCTCTACGAGGTCAGGATGGAGGTGGACACAGAATTTTGTCCCTCAGGGCTGAGTGGAGCAGGGGCCGTGGAGGTTCAGTGGGATTCTTAGATTGGCAGAGCACCCACTTTCGTTCACAGAGCAGGCACTCTGGAGGCAGTGCACACTGGGGAGGGAGAGGAGGCTGGTAGGCACGTGCGCCTGTTCCACTTTCCCGGAACACCTGCTTTGTCCAGGGCTTCTGGAGGTAATTATGATTAGATAACCGTTTCCATGGAGCTCCCAGCTAGGTGGGGGCAGTGAGCCTGGTGGGCACTCTAGCTTCAGAGCTAGGCAGATCTAGGGTGTGTCCTTCTGTGTCCCATTGGACCCCAGCAGGCCAGTTGGAGAGGCATTTCTGTCCAGGTGTCTGTCCATTTATTTGACAGATGTGGATCGAGCACTTACCTCAAGCTGGGCATGGTCTTTGTTCTCTTGGGGCACATCACTGAGATAGGGAGAGCTTCATGGAAGAAGTGACCCTTCCTGGGAGCCTTGAAGGCTGAGAGGAATTAGATAGGGAGGAGGTCAGGACAAGCCTTTGGCATAGAGGCCCCTGTCCAGCATTTACTTGTTACTAGGGTCAGGCAAGGAGCTGGGGTACAGGGAGGGTGGAGGAGGGGATGGAGTAAGTTAAGGTAATGAGTGGCTGTGCTGGTGTGTTCCTGGCCTCAGGAGTCCTGCCCAGGAGCAGCAGAGCTGTGTGGCATGGTTGCCAGGTAGAAAAGGTAGAGGGGCCTAACCTGCACCCAGGGAGGGACAACGGGAGCTGGCTGGCCAGTACTGCTGGCCTGGCGGTAGCAGGCAGAGGAGCAGGCAGATTGGAGAGAGGGTTAGCAGTCAGAGTGGGCAGGTGGGCTTCCTCAACTGCAGGGCTGGCATCATGCCCAGTACTTAGTAAGTGCCAGGAAATGGATGGGGACACAGTGGCCAAATGTAGCCAGGGTTTGTTGACCCCTGCAGTGCGCCAGTGGTTTGTGATTGCATGGAAATCTAGACTTCCCATTTGTTTTAAGTTGGAAGAACTGGCAACAGTGGTGCATGGCAGTGTTTGGCTCAAGGGGCTTTACCACTGCCTCTTGGTGTGGACTGTCCACTCGAGTTACCCTGACCCCGCAGCATGCCTTGGACTCCTGATGTGTGCAGCCTGGGCCCCTGGGTGCCGGCAGAAGGCCTTCCATGTACAGGCTGGGGCACAAGGAGGCAGAGTGGCCTGTGGAGAGAAGGCCTGCTGGCAGAAGTGGGCAGGGCTGGGTGGCCTCAGAGGCCAGCCCGGGCAGCGAGGCTGTGGCACCAGGCCATCTGCTGGTTCCCGTGAGGTCAGACTATGCTGCTGGTGGCTGCGGGGAAGCCTGAAGCTGCCCTGCCTGTGCCTGGCCTTGATGTCTGCTCCTTGGATCTAGCCTTTGCTGCCAGCTGGCCACACTGTTGGCAGGTGCCACCTTGGCAGCCCCTACTGCCTACCCGCCAGCCTGGCAGCAGCCCTGACCCGAGATGATCTGGCTCCGTGGAGCCAGGCTATTCCCTGAGGCCTGTTCTTCGTTTTAAGCTCCGTTATGGGAGTTGCTCTGGCCAGGGGCTCTTAGCAGCAACCACATCATGTGCCTGAGGGCCCTGCTTGTCCAGGCATGGCTTGGGGGGCCCTGAGTGCCTTTGAACCATGCTTGTTCAGTACCTGGGAGTCCTGACTTGCATTTGAGAGGCCCTACTTATGCCCTGGGATGGCTGCTGGCATGTCTGCTAAGGGTTTAGGAGCCGAGGGACTCCATGTGTGGCGTCTGGTGACTGGTATGCAGTGACCCTGCCATCACTCGCTTGCTGCTGGGGACAGGCAGTAATATTTGCAGCACAACCAGTTTAGATGTATTGTTATCTTACCAGGGAGCCCCAGGAAGGTTTAAGCAGGGGAGAGACACCAGATTTGATTAGAAAGAGACACGGAACTAATGTAGGGTGGGGAGAGGGTGTGGCTCTTTATTATCCACCTCCTCAGCAAGTGCTTTGGATTGTGGGGACACCATACCTGCCCCAGGGCTCCAGATATGACCTGGGACCTGTTAGTCACCCGCTATGAGAACGGACTGCTCTCTGGTGGCTCAGTAAGGCCTGAAGTCGCCCAACCTGTGACTGGCTTCTGTGTCTGCATAGGGCTGTGGTTGCAAACCCTGGATCTTTGCTTTGAGCCTCTTTTGGCACCCAGGGCTTGGAAGAGCTCTCACATGCAGGCCTGAAGCTGCCCGCACCCCCCCTGCCTAGCCCCCTGTCCCTGTAGCCAGCTGGTTTCAGTGGCTGGGAGGAAGAGCTCTCACAGAGGCCTTTCTGCCTGCTTGTTCTGCCTTGCTGCCTCCCTGCCTCCAGGCCTGCAGGAGACATTCTCATCCTGCTTCTGTGACCTTGGGCAAGAGATTTGGCCTCCGAGCCTCAGTGACTGTCCCTAAGAAGCAGGGCTGCTGGTGCCTGGCTCCTGGTGCTCATGGAGGACGCAGTGAGATGATGTCTGTCAGACATCCAGCACCGCTCCTGGCATACGGTGCACACACTGCATGTGCCACAGTCTCTCCTCCTGTGCCCAGGGTGAGGTGTGGCAGGGCCAACGCCCTGCATGGACTGATGAAGTGCTGCTGGGAGAGGGCACTTTCCACTTGGGGCAGGGGTGGGAGCGGATGAGGAGCACACCAGGTGTCTGAGTTCAGGGTCCCCAGTGGGGTCTGTGTTCTCTTGTTCCTTGTTGGCTTGAACTTGCCCCAAAGGGGAATGCTTGGCTGTGAGCCAGTGCGAGTTGGAGCATTCCTGCTGGGTGGGCCCAGGCTGGGCTGGGGTGCTTTTGCTTAGGCTCTGGGACCCCCTCTGGCAGGCAGAAGGCAGCTCCCCATGGAGGCAGAGGACACTGGCTGTCAGGCTGCAGGTGGGCAGGGGTGTGGGTGAGAGAGACAGCAGCCCCTAGGTAGATGGGAAGCCCCTGCCCCTCCTGGCCTCAGGCCTCAGGCTGGCCTCCCGTCAGCTGCCACTGCTCCTTTCCCTTCTGGTTTCTGTGCCTTTGTTCCTGCAGTTGCCTGTTCCTCAAGTTCCCTTCCCCCACTACTCTGCTCATTGAATTTCTTCTCAGCCTAAGAGCCACCTCCTCCAGGAAGCCTTCCTTGGCCTCTTTTGGCCTTGTAAGTTCTCTGTGGGCCCTCATCTCAGGGTGCTGCAATCTCTGTCCACATCTCTAGCTCATTCCCCAGACTGTGGGCCTTTCACAGGCAAGAGCAGTCCTTCTTGCATCATTGCATCTTGGTCTTGGGGCTTCCTGCTGTGGGTTGGCACTGCCCTGGTGCTGGAGCTTTTCTCTCCTGGCTTTTGTTTCCTGGCTCTGAACCAGTGTGAGTGCTGGTGCGGGACCTCATTGTGGCTGCTGCCAGCTGCTGGACCCGCCCCCCCACCCCATTCCCTTTTCAGGCCCGAGGTATCAGTCTGTGTCAGGAGCAGCCCTCACTCAAATACTGGACAGCTGGGTGCCTCCACAGGCTCAGAGGCTGCAATTGAGAGGCAGCTGGAGGCATCGATGGTGAGGGTGGGGTGAGCCCCTCTGCATGGGGTAGGGATGCTCATAGCAGGCAGAGTGGGAAGGAGGAGGGGGCTGGGGCCTGACTCCAAGCATGGCAGTTGGACCTTGGCAGTTGCTTGATCGCCCTGTGACTGTGGCCTTGTCTTCTCAGCCTTGTCCTCCATCAAACAGGGCTCCTCCCACGGGAGCAGGAGGGCTACCTACTCAGCACAGGGCCAGGCACCTGGCAGCTAAGGACAGACTAACCCTGCCCAGAGAGGAGGTGGCTGTCTAGTGCTCAGGGAGGGTGGAAGTCTGGGTGTGAGGCACTCTTACCTCTCACCACTTCCTCTCTGAGCAGACTCTGCAGATGTGGGGCAGCATACCTGTGGCTCCCTGCTCCCCCTAGGATTCCCCCAGACAATTTCCTGGGTACCTTCTGGGTGTGGGGCTCAGGCTGGGCCCTGGAGATGTGGCCCCCACCACTGCAGGGCCCTCTAGTGAGGAGAGGTGCACAAATCCCATCAGTGCTATGGCCATGGGTGCTGAGTGGGGGATACTGGGCTTGGTTCTGGGGCATGAGTAGGATTAGCAGGTGGCTGTGGGAGAAGAGCAGCCTGGGATGGAGGCATGGCAGGAGTGAGCTCGCTGAGCAGGAAAGAGGGGCCACCAACCTGGGAGGGAGCTTGGAGTTAGTAGGAGTTGAGGGGAGGGGTTTGGACTGTACCCGGAGGGGTGAGAGCCATGGAAGGGTGTGAATCAGAGTCAGATTTGTAGTTTAGAACCACCAAGGGCAGCCATGGGGTTGATTCCTTGGGGCTGCAGGTTGTAGAAGGGCAGGTGACTGTCAGCTGAGAAGGGTGGCGTTCCACCTCTGTCATCACAGAATTACTCCAAACAGAACCCAACGTATGCCGTCCAGTGCTGAGGATGAAAAAGCTGCTGCCACTCACAACAGGAACCAGTCTCACAAACAACTTTGAGCAAAGCAAGCTGGAGACAAGAATGTATGATGTGGCCAGGTGCGGTGGCCCACGCCTGTAATCCCAGCACGTTGGGAGGCTGAGGTGGGCGATCATTTGAGGTCAGGAGTTCAAGACCAGCCTGACCAACATGGTGAAATCCCACCTCTACTAAAACTACAAAAAAAAAAAAAAAAAGCTGGGCGTGGTGGCACATGCCTATAATCCCAACTACTCAAAGCTGAGGAGGCAGGAGAATCACTTGAACTCGGGAGGCGGAGATTGCACCACTGTACTCCAGCTTAGGCGCAAAAAAAAAAAAAACGGGATATGATGCCATTTATACAAAGTTTAAAAACCTTTCTAATACAAGTCAGGGCAGTGCTGTCTTTGTTGAGGGCAGTCATGTCTGGAAGGAACTTCCGGGGGCTTATAATCTGCTTGTTGGGAGCTGGTTTCGTGGGTATGTTCTCTCTGAGAATCTGCGAGTTCTGCACATCTCTGTGCCAGAAACAAGCCTCGAGATGCCCCACACTTTTGGGTGGTGCTGGGTGGATGTCTAAGACAAAAACGAGGCACCTTTTTGGGTATCCGGAAGCCTGAAGGAAGTCCTCAGGTGTTTACTGGGTCTTTCTGCTGACGCAGCCCGAACGGTTCTGGCCTGATAAGCATCACTCTTGTTTATAAGGCAGTAACTCATCCTGGCAGCTGCAAACAGACTTCTCTGGCTGGAGATTGTCTTCCTGCCTCTTGCAAACCCCGGCAGGGACTGCTGGGCTGTGGGGTTTGGCAGTTCAGGGGGAGGGTGGGCTCCCGAGGCTGCCAAAGGACTAGATCTCTATGAACTTTGCTTTCCTCATCTGTGAAATGGGTTAATAAGCTCCTTGATGCTTGGATGAAATGGGTTAATGCCTGTTATGTGCCCATCATAGCCCCTGGCATGGAGTACAGACTCAGCAAAGCCTGTCAGCAGGTTGAGAGCAGAAAGGAAGGGCTCCTGTTTCTCCCTCTGTCCCTGTAATTGTTTCTCTTTTCTCTTCCTATGGTTCACCTATTCAGCAAACATTTGTAATTAAAATCAGGCCACTGCCTTGGCAAGACAACTGTCCCTGCCTGGGGCCCAGAGCCAGGGAGACTTTTAGGCACATTCATCTCTCAGAGGAGTGCTGAGCATAGTGGGATAAGGGGGAATTGCCACTCCACCTACTCTCCCCTGAACCCTGTCTTTGGGAAGGGGCGTTTGACTGTGCTCTCCCCAAATGCCAGGAGAAAGCCTGACGTTGGGGTGCAGCAGCCCCTAAGGGTTTTTTTTTATGTTGGCCACACCCATCTTGGATACAGGCAAGACTGAGGCTAGGCTCTTGGGATGTGTCCCCAGTGTCCAACGCAGGCCTGATGTTTAGTAAGTGCTCAGTAAATGCATGTGGAGTCTGAATGATAGAGGCAAAGATTGGTCCAGGATTGCTCTGTGAGTCTTCAGGGAATCAGATGTCTGGGGAGGAGGTAGAGACCAGTGAGTCAGGCCCTCATGCTTCAGCCTGATAACTTAGCCCATGGTGGTTGGAATCTTGGGGAACCAATGAAGATGGCTGGAAAAACAGGTCTGAGTCTGTGCAGGGCTGGGAGGAAAGGTGACTTTGTTGGAGCAGTTCATGATTATCTCCTGGTCACCTCAGAAGGCCAGGAAGCCTTAGGGCATACTGTATGGATCAGTAGGAACAGCTGGGTAGCAAAGCCAGCAATGGTAGTGACCCCTGGCCCCTTGGACTCTGCAGAGAATGAGGCCCTATCCTTCCATGAAGGTGGCACAAGAAGGCTTAGGGGCAGCCCTTAATGGGAGCAGGGGTGTGAAGGGTGCTTATTTAGTCATTAGTTATTTACTGACTTACCATGTGCCCAGCGCCATCCTTGGGACTGGGGAAGCAGCAGTGAGGGAAACACAGGCCCTTCCTCCAGGACCTCTGCAGTCTGGGAGGTTCCCACAGGAACCTAAGACCCAGGCCTAGAAGAGGAAGCCTGCAGTGTGTGGGGTGCCCTTGGGATAGAGGGTATGGGTAGAGAGGACAGCGGCAGCCCGTGACTTGAGTCTAGTCATTCGAAGAGCCAATCCCTGAGGATAGGGATCCGTTCAACCTCTCCCCTTCCTCCTTGGGTGAATCAACCACCACCCAGGCATGAGTCAGCCAGGACCGGCTCAGGCATGACTAGGCCACCCGCTGGTCCCCTTCCCTAGATGTCCCAACCAGGGTGTCCTAGCCAGATTTAAGATGTAAGGAAGCCAGGTGTGGTGGCTCACGCCTGTAATCTCAGCTGCTCAGGAGGCTGAGGCAGGAGGATCACAGGAGCCCAGGAAACATAGACCCCTTACCTCAAAAAAAAAAAAAAAAAAAAAAAGACTTGGGGAAATATACTGATCCATGGTCCTAGGGTGGAGAAGAGGATGGGGAACTGGGTCAGGGGCTTTGCATGCCCAGCTTCCTGCTGGACCATCTGCCTCTCAGGGGAACTCAAGGTGCCTCTCAGTGTTACTTCTGGAGGTCTAGTCCCTGCTTTCATTCAGCATGGGTGTCCACTGGGCCAGGTCCTATAGCAACTCTGTAAGACAGGTACAGAGCCATAGCTGAAGCCCAGAGAGGTCATGTCCAGTGGGTGCTAGAGCCTGGCCTTGAGCCCCAGTCTCTGCTTCTCCATGCCTGTGGGCAACCCTGCTGGGAGCCTGGCCAGCCTTGAAGCTCTGTGTTTTCTGTGGGCAAGGATCCTAGGTTGGTGGGGGGAATCTGCTAGCACAGCACAGCCTGACACCCACTGTATCTTCTTGCTTTGAACTGCCGGGGTCTTGGGCCCAACCCTGGCATGGGAGCCCAGCTTGCAACTCTGGGGTCAGACAGTGGTGGCTTTAGATCACAGCCCTCTCCTGGTCAGGAGACCTTGGGCAGGTCCTTCCCTCCTCTGGGCCTGTGTTTCCTTGGCTGCGATGGGGTAATGGGCTGATAGCACCCATCTCCTAAGGCTGGGCTGTGGATTCTTGAGGTCGGGGAGAGTGCTTGGCTCAGTGAAGAAGGGTTCAGGAAATGGGGGCTCATTTTAATGCCGCCCCGCAGGGCCTGCTGAGGGGCATTTTTCTACTTCTCCCTCCTGGATTGCCTTGACTTGGTCCCCGACACCAGCAGGTCTTGACAGATTTGGCTCAGAGCCACACCTCACTAGCCCCAAACTTTGACCTAATGACCCTCCCTACCTTGGCATATGCCTGGTCTCAAAGCCTCTTCCCTGGGATTGAGACTCGAGGTGAAGGGTCAGCCCATACAGCACAGGGTCCAGGGTCGCTAGCGTGACAGATGCTCCTGCCACAGTCTCAGGAGAATGGCTGCACTGCCCTGGCAAATTCTCCAGGAATTCTGTAAGATCAGAAGGTGGGGTGGGTTCCTGAAGGGGGCCCTGGGAGTACAGACCACCCCTCACCTCCCGTGTGACCTGCAGCAAGTGCCTGGCCTCCCTGAGTGTTTGTTTCCTGATCTGTGAAGTAGAAGCAGGAAGGCGATGCTTGAGAATCACTTGGCACACAGGAGGGTGCCTGGGAAACAGGAACCAGCCTGGGCCGTACTGGGTGCCAGGGGCATCTTTGCCCGGGTGTGTGACATTCTTCGTTAAAGCCAAGAATTTGGGTCCCTTCAATGGCCTGTTCCCTCTTGGGCTGTAAGAGCAAGAGAGAGTGATCATTTGCATCACTTGAGAATGGCATTCACAGGGCATTTGCCTGGACAGTAGCTCAAGCCGTTTGCACAACCTGACGCTGGGTACAGAGGGCAGAGCAGGGCAGCCACTTGCCTGTGCTTGTGAAACAGGGACGCCTGTATGTGCCTGCTTGGGCTGTTTTTTTTTTTTTTGAGATGGAGTTTTGCTATGTTGTCTAAGCTGGTCTTGAACTCCCAGGCTCAAGCAGTCCTCCAGCCTCAGCCTCTGGAGTAGCTGAGATTACAGGTGCACACCACCCTACCCAGCTTGTGTGGGGTTTTTTGAAGCTCAGTCTCAAGGTTGCTGCTTGACTGGTGAGTGGCAGGATTCAGACCTACATGTGTCTGACTCCAGAATGCTTTCACCCAACCCTGACACTTTCCCAACAAGCCTGAGTGACCTGACTTCCCTCTACCCTGCCCCTGTGCCCTGCCCCTTTTCCATCTTGCAGTTTCTGAAGCCCCAGTGGGCTGTCCACTCTGTGCTTGTTTGGATCACTTGTTATGCCAGCCTCTGTCCCAGCCCACCCACCAATACCCGGGCCATCACTAATAGGGCTGTCTTTGGCAGGGGAGCAAAGAGCGTTTTGGGGATGCCGGGTGGCTGATCTGAGTGCTCCAGTGGCTTGGCTTCTAGAAACTTCTTGCTGCCTCTTTGCAGGAGGAGGCACTGGCCATGCTAGGACTGTGAGCTGCTCCCCCTGAACCCCTGGCAGAAGCCAGACGCTGCTGTGCTGCCACGTTGGCTCTTTGGCCCCTGGACGGATGCCTTGGTTGGTCCCTGGGGCAGGCCCCTCCCAGGCGGCTGTATCCTCTTCTCTTCAGGGAAGCACAAGGCAGATGTTGTCGATTTAAATTGTTTCCTTATTAGACTCTTGCTCTCCAGCCTGGGCTGGGTTTCATCAGCCGGGAACTCTGATTGCATCACTTTGTCGCTCACTCCTCCAGGAACAAGGCCAAGGACTGGGAGAGCGAGCAGGGTGGGAGTGAGTGTGGCTGAGGGAGGAGCAGGCAGATAGCAGGGGAGGGACATAAGTGATGGTCTTAAGTGATGGGGCCCTGCTCTGGGGGACCAGCACTCTCAGGAACCCTGGAGCACAGCTGGAACCTGGGGTTGCACACGCCTATCACAGCGCTACTGTCTCTTAGCTGGGTGCCCAGCTCCTTACATCAAAATCACCTGGGAGCTTGTTGAAAATGTCCTTTTAAGGCCTGCAGCAGTGGCTCTCAACTGGGGTTGATTTGGTGATCTCTGGAGACATTTTTGGTTGTCACACCTTGGGCTGTGCTGCTGGCAGGTTGCTGCTAAACATCCGTGCACAGGACAGCCCTTCACAAAGAGAAATCCTGTCCCTCGGAGTCTGTGATTCTGCACAGGACAGCCCCTCACAAAGAGAAACCCTGTCCTGCGGAGTCTATGGTTCTGGCAGGGCTCACTGGGAATCTTCATATGTCATGAGCTAGTGGATGTTTTTATTCGAGAAGCCCATCCTGCTGGACCTCGCCCCTGTCTTTTTGCTTATGAGTTTGAGCACGTGCCCCGGCAGGGCTTCGTGTTGGGCATCCAGAGGAGGTAAGACCTGTGTCTCTGAGTACTGGAACTGGGAAGGTGAAGTATTGAGAGTGAGGATCACACTGGAGCCCTGTCACAGGCTGGGCTTCCCCACTGATAACCCAGATTCCCTTTTCCTGACTTCTTCTCCTGTGAGGGTTGCCAGCCAGGCATGCATTTTTGCTCTGACTCTGAGGAGAGGCCTTGATGGGCCCATTTGACCCGTCTTTAGGGATCCTGTGGGCCTGGCAGCCTGCCAGGAGGTGGCGCCCACGGCACCATGACCCTAACCTCCTGTCAACCTGGTGATGGAGACCTGGGGTTGCCAAGGCTCTGGGATCTTTTTGTTGCACCTGCTGGGCAGCGATGCTGGACCAAGCTGGGGCCAGGTGCTGGGGATATGGCAGTGAACTGACCTCAGGACCACAGTGGCGAGAATTCTCTGCATCTTCCCTCTGTTGAGTAGTGGAGAGAGGTGCTGTGGGACCACAGTCACCCCAACAGCCCTGGATGATGGGCAGTTCGTCCTTTTTACAGATGAGGAAGTTGAGGCTGGCTGAGATGGGTTCTCCGAGTCACTTGGCGGCTTCTCCTCCTTACCAGCCTCATCCACCCCCTGGCCTTCCAGGGAGTCTCTTCTTGGAAGCCACCCCCCTCCTCTGGGTCTTCCCTGTGTTGTTCCCACTGCCTGGGACCTCCTTGTCCCCAGATCTTCACCCAGCTGACCTCTGCCTGAGGTCCCAGCTCTAACGTTACTGTCCAGGGAGGCTTCTCGCCTTCCTGCCTCCAGAATAGGTCAGGGCCTGCTCTGTTCACCGCTCTCATAGCCCCTTCGACTTCCTAGGAGACTGGTGGTGACTACAGTCCTTTCCTGTGTAATGGCTGTCTCCCCCTCTCAGCCAGGAGGTTGCTCATGTTGTGTCCCGCACCCCGAGCCAGCACCATAGTCAGTCCTCGTGGATGCATTGTGGAGGTCCTGGTCTGGTTTGGGACACAGATCCCTGTTTCTCCCCACACCACCAGGCATGGCTTCCTGGGATGGGTCAGAGGGTGGTCAGGTCACTGGGCAGCCTTCCCAGGGCCAGGAGAACTCCTGGGAGTTCTGCCGGGCCAAGGACACCAGCCTGCTGGGGTGCTCTGCTGTTTGAGGACAGCCCAGAAATAGCCAAATTCCACTGCTGAGATGGCCACAGTGGCTGTGGTGGGTGCAGGGCTTGCCCTGTCTCACTGAGATTTACACATTTAATTGTATATCTTCAAGCTAAAAATGAAACCCAGTCTCTGTAATTACCTGTTCCTGGCAGTGGGGAGCTGGGGAAGCACGCCCTGCAACTCCAGGCCCAGGAGTGCTGGTCATCACTGTTTCTTCCCAGGCGACGGCCAGCCCTGCCAGCAGGTCTCACGTACTGCATGGGCTAATTCCACTTGGTGCCTTGGGAGGGCTCAAGGTTTGAACCACTAGCTGGGGGTTCACAGCCCTTTTGCTTATAAGCAGCCTTCCTAACCCATACCCTTTTCTCATTTTCAATTTAAATTTCAATTATGGAAAAAATTTAAAAAATAAAGAAACAAAAAAGATAAAAATAAAGAAAAGGAAACAAAAAAAGAAAACAATAAAATAAAAGACACACAAAAAAGAAACAAAAGGTGAGGGGGAAGAAGAAAAAATAAAAAAAATTTTGATTATGAAAATAATTCTTCGACAGAAATGAAGGCACTGGCTCCGATAACCCCACTACCACACCTTTGGTCAGACCTGCTCTGAGCTCCCTGCCTGCCTTCTGGCTATTGTCCCCTCACACCAGTGTGAATAAGCTGCTTAAGTCCAGAGTTCTGCGTTAAAACAGTCTCCTCCTCTGGGCGTTGGTTCTATAATTTTAAAATTTCAGTTCTCTAGCCTAGACCTGGGCCATATTAGGGTAAGATGGGGATGTGGGGCACTGAGGAGGGTGCACAGTCCTATGATTTTCTTTCTTTTTCAATAAAGGTAGGGTCTTGTGTTGACCAGGCTGTTCTCCAACCCCCGTCCTCAAGGGAGTCTCCTGTCTTAGTCTCCCAAACTGCTGGGATTATAGGCATGAGTTACCATGCCTGGCCTGTTTTCTTAATAAACATCTTAT